ATTCATAGTAAAGTCATTTTAGGAAGATTATTTTGGGATGCAGATTTTCAGAATGTTGGTAGTTGGATTTGGAGACGGTTGATGAAATTGAGGCCTTTGGCACGACCTTATTTATCTTGTCAGATTGCTTCGGGAAGGAGAGGTCTATTCTAGCATGATAATTTGACTATGTTAGGTCCCTTGATTGACATGACTGGTTCCAATGGACCTAGAGTTACAGAAATTCCATTAAATGCAACAGTTTTCCAAGCACTTGAAAATGATTAGTGGTTGCGAAGTATCAGAAGACATCCTATCGTGGTGTTGCTGAGGAATTTTATTCCATCTACTCCGACTTTTAACCCCTTGGAAGAAGATTTATTCCTGCGGAGAAACTCCTTGGCGGCTCCCCCATGTGTTTTTTCTTCTTCTAAGACTTGGCTTTCTTTACATCCCCCTTCTCCAAGTGTCCCATGGTTCAGTTCAGTGTGGTTTAAACAGCGGATTCCTAAACACGCTTTTATGCTTTGGATCATAATGCGTGATAGATTAACCACCCGTGATCGATTGAGAGGCTGGAGACTTGATATTCCGCCAGATTGCGTGTTATGTACCTCTGGCTCTGAATCGAGAGAACATCTTTTTTCAGCTGTACTTACTCCTACGAGGTTTGGAAAACCTTCTTTACTCATCAGGATATATCTCCTCCTTTACCTTTTGGGGATATTGTTTCTTGGATCAGATCATCAACTCGCAACAAGAAGTTGAAATCGATAGTCAAACTAATATTTCAAGCGGTGGTGTACTCAATTTGGAAAGAGCGTAACTCAAGGCTTCATTCTACTGTTTCGAAGATTGCGCAAGTGGTTATCAAAGAGATTCAATTGATACTTCGGGCAAAACTTGCTGGTCTTGATAGGATGACGGTACAGCAACAAAACTGTCCTCCACCTCCTTCTGTCCATGTGAGTTTTGAGACTTACTTGTTGACATGGTTCTGCTGGTACATTCAACCATAACTTGCTGCCAAATTTCTTCCTTCCTTCATGGTTACTTCCTCAAATTACTGTTTTACTTGTGTTTCTTAAATCAACTTCTTATGTCATCTGATATTTTGTATTTTTTCAAATTGTTGTAAGTTTGAAATGATGCCTCTTATGGGGAAGATGAATAAAAAAGTATATTAAAAAAAAAAAAGTTGGTTAAAGTGCAACATTGAGGGTGTATGGCTAGAATAAGGGAACCACTGTGGTATAGGGTGGGTGTTTAGGGATCATGGATGCAGAATTTTGTGGACGGAGCAAGAGCACTCCCAAGGTTGAAGTCAACGCTAGAATCGATTTTAATATTTGAACGTGTATAATAAAACATATGATTTCTAATATCTAAAAACGTACAAAAATTATATATATTATGCATAAATGTAATAGAGTTAAATTTTGATCAAGTATATTTTGATGCCATTAATTTAATATTTTGATGTGTAAAATTGATCGAAACATATGCAAATGTTATTTATTCCAATATATTTAAAGTGTAAAATTGATTTTCATTATTCATGTAAATTATAAAGCATGCGATAAAAATGATATATATTTTTCAATAATGAACTATATAAATATTTGTAAGTGAGATTAAATAGTATAATACTCCTTCCGTTTCAAAATGTAAGTTGTTTTAGATGTTTTTTTTTTGTTTCAAAATGTAAGTTGTTTTGACAATCCTAGGTACTTTTAACTTTATTGAATATTGTGTGACCACTAGTATTATGCAGTCTTTTGTATTATTGGTCAAATTATTTTTAATAAATATACTAAATTGTACTTTTTAGTGGAAAAGTAGTTTTTTAATATCCGCGATTTTAGGTAAAACAACTTACATTTTGAAAAAGAGGGAGTAGACTACATC